CGGCGAGCCAACAAAAAAGCGGGCGATTTAAACGTGCCTTCGAAACCCGTTAGGAAGGCGCCGGCACCCAGAGGCCGTTTCAAAGTAGCTTTGGCTGGCTTTCCAGCAACAGGGCGGGCTCTGCGTCCTCTTGACTTCGGCGAAGGGAAATTTTATATATATATTTATATATATATATATTTCCCCTCCCCCCTTTGGGAAATTGCTGCTGCAGTGAATGATTTAAAAGGGAGCCAGATTTTTAGGAAAGTGGAAGAGGATCTGAGGTTTCTATTAATGGCAATGCTTAGAGAGTTCTCTCCCAAAGGTTTTTATTAAGGTGAACTACTTTTCCTTTTTGGAAACCTGCTGTGAAAGGGTAGCTCTCTAGCTACTTGTAGCTCAAGGCTAATGAACTAGTTTTAAGACACAGAAATTATTTCCTCGAAAGCTGATTTGGGTAGTGAGTGCCCAGCCAATGACTGTTTAGAGAGTACATTATTAAGTGGTATTTCGACCAAATCACAGCTAATTATTTCTAGAGAGGCAGGATTCGACATAATGTACTTAAACCGCTTCAACACCTGTGATGTACTGTTGAAGGCAGGGAGTGGGGACAACTTATGTACGGGAGCTCCATCCCTAGCAAATTCCTGCAACCCAGAACATTTTTTGACCTTTCACCATTTATTTAATGTCACATTTAAATCTGATGGTGGTTATTTTGTGAGCTGCTTTGAGTTTGTGTTTTTATGTGTGTAATCCGATATTTTCATTTCAGCGTCGAAATTATGCTTTTCAGCACTTTAACTGTTAGCTTACCTCACCACTCTTTATCCCTGTAGTAGCAGAGCGAAGAGGCACTTGCTTAGACATATACTAGGACTTGAACTTGAATTCATCTTAAGATCTCCTTTCTGGCAGTGGCTACAAACAGCCACTATGAGTGGGTTGTCAGAAGAGATTGAAACTAGATAGGTGCTCACTTAGAGGGGAAAGAAGCCATACACAAAACAAATTACCCGCCCCCCCCAACCATTTGTCTTCCACCACATTCCAGTTTTGAGCCAATAAACTAGTGTTTACTCTTTATATTAGTTACTAAGCTCGAAAGAGTGGCTGTAAAGGGAAAACAATGAAAATTAGGCATGCATTTCCAGAGGGAAATGTTATATTTTTAGAAACATAAGTGATTGCTTGCCTAAAGACTTGGGGGGGAAAGAACAAAAAGCTTGGAGGACGAGAATAACTAGACTGCCTCAGCCACACTAGACAGTGAATCAATACTGACTTTGACTTGGAGGTCTTCGTGCTTTAAGAAAGTGGTACATTCGAGAAGCAGATAAAATAAAAATGCCAATTACCAGTACAGATTTTTTTCCCTTTCCTGATAATTTTCTGGGAAATTATCACTGGAATGTTTTCATCAGAATGAAACCATAAATACTGTGTTGCTGGTACAATGGTTATGTGCTTGGCTGCAAAAAGTTTGCAATTTGAACCTAACCAGCCACTCCGTGGAAGAAGAAAACTGGTGACCTGCTCCCCTGAAGATTAGGCAACCCTACGGGCAGTTCTGTTGTTTCCTACAGGGTTAGTATATGAGTGGAATTGACGGAACTGCACACAGTAGCAGCAGTGCAGGGTCTCTACAGAGCTTTTTTTCTGTCAGCTATCTTAATTCGTTTTATCTCATCTGTTACTGAGACTTAGATTTTCTCAGTTGGCCCCAAAGAATAATGGAGCAGCTTTTTCTAGAGACTGTCCAGTGAAGAATCAGACATCGCATCTGGTTATCTCCTTTACCAGATTGAAATCTTGAGTAGCTTTTTGACAAGAGCTGACATGGAGAATCCAAACTCTTGGAAGCAAAATCAGGCTGGATTAAAAAAAAGAATCTGGAAATAAAACATGTTTTGTTGTAATTTGGCGGTTGTAGATTTAGAGACCAACCATTTTATGAATACTTAAAAAGAAAATGTTGATATGATGTGCTTATCCACAGACTTGTTGGATGGTCAAATATGTGTCTTTCAATACAGAGGTAGTTGGAACAGCAAACATCAGGACATCAAAACACCGATCATCCCACATCTTTAGGATTGGGGTGTGTGTGTGTGCACTGGGGGAAGGGATGTCATCTGTCTCAATAATTCTTCCTTACTTGCCTTCCTGTTTGTCAAGTTCTTCCCTGTCTAGTCTTACAGGGCATCTGCTAACACCATAATAGTTAATGGTGTGTCAAAACTTGCATTATAAACCCTGCTTTACTTCTGGCTTTGTAATGCAGACTTTCTCTGGAGAAAATAGTACATTATGAAAATCTTAGACAAAACATCTTGCCCTTTTATGTGGATTGGCATCGAGTAATTTGTCTTGATTGTTACAACAGGGAGAGTTCTATCACTTTCACACTTTCCTGCTCCATTCAAGTCTGTCTGTGAGCGTAGGAAATTGGCACCATATTCAACAATGTCTTTTTATAAATAAAAGGAGGCTTGCTTGGAGGTAAGTTTCTTGGAAGGTTATCAGAAGTCTAGTAGGAACTTTAATAGAGGAAGTATTTCAATTCCAGAGACCTGAGTTTGTTTCCTTGAAAGTTTAAGTGTTCAGTTTATTTTCTCCATTTTCAAGATTTTGGAGTACTCTAAGTGATCATTTGGGCAC